GGATTGGCCTAAGCTTGATCATGGAATCTATCGATCTACATATGCGAACGCAGGATTACACATACTATGGACAAACCAAACCCGATGACAGATCTCGCCCCCGACAACTGAATACAGCTCCTTGGTGAAAAAACAATAGGAGACATACGCGACTTTCTCTCAGACAACGTTGTCGGGTGCAGCGGCATCGTTCCTCGCCTCTCGGAAAACGTACAAGTAGTCCTCTTTTCGCACGATTGTGTTCACCCGCGGGCTCGTATAGACGTACGCGGTGGGTGATCCGAGAGTCCCTGCTGCCCTATACAACCCCACCGAAAGCATACCAGCTTCGTGAAGCAAGATACAAAAAACCTCCCCATAGGCAAGCCCATCCCATGCATGGGGGACAGGCATCATATCAAGCAGCTGAATTGCGTCCGTCCGTCCTGCAATCTTTCCGCCTTCCAAGAACTGCAGAATTAAGTTAGCTGTGTTCCTGATGGTGAACGATGAAGACCTGCAACATGCACACCCCCCCACAGCTAAGAAAAAAATCTGCATAGGTGAACAGTGAATGCTACTGAATAGTACTGAATAGTACTGAATAGTAAATAGTACCTATTGGTTAAGTGACTAAAGTCACATAAGTGTGTAGTCCTTCAGGACATCCGTTAAAATTGGAACGATACAGAGAATGAGGATTAGCATGGCCCATGCGCAAGGATGACACACACATAAATCAAGAAATGATCCAAATAAAAGGGGAAAAAAAGAAAAAAAAACGAAGTGTTTCGCTTTGCTTGTGGCAGGTTGAAGGCTTGAAAGCAATGAAAAACGCTCACACAAGTGTGCTTGTTTAGCAGTGAGGAGATTGCACCACCATGCAAACCTGCCGTCTTCACCGGAACTAGATCGGCCGGGAAATTATCAGCCAATTTATCGCTGCACCTCGACAGGAGGTTGTGCCACATGCACAGCTATAATGACCGGGCGTTTTATTCGGTAGGGGCGAAGATGGTAGGCTGAACGTACGATTGAAGTCGCACAAGTGTTGCCTGCACTGCTTCATGGAACTAACCTATCGCACTGGCGCAGCCGGCTGGACTTGTGTAAATAGTAAGTAGTATTTTACTATTTTTTTTCTTTTTTCTTTTTTTTTTAGTAAATACTAAACAGGCTGCAAGCCTGCAACTTTGACGCTATCGCACATTGCATATTGGCTAAGTGATCCTGCCTTGGCCTTGTCTGCTTGAAAGGTTGCAGGTTCAAGTCCTGGGGTAAGCGATTACGACTCCAAACAAAGCTTCGGGGGAGGGAGGGGGAACTGCTCAGACTTGTGCTTTTTTTCGCCGAGCTGTGTTCAGTGAAACAGACCAAAGAATCCCTTATATATCTCTGCGTCTCTGTTTCAGTCCAGCTTCTTCTTCTTCTTCTTCTTCTTCTTCTTCTTTTTTTTTTTTTTTTTTTGACAAAAGAGAGAACCTTTTCAGTCCAGCTCCGCTCTAGTTAGTAGTTACACTCTGAAAAAAATGGAAACTTTTGAAGCGGTGAAAGTCTAGGACAGATAGCAAAGTCCTCGTGTTCGGAATCAGTCTGAAAAAAAAAAAGAGGAGTAAATTACCAAATTGAAAGCATGATTCTCAAGGCTTTTCCAAGGGCAACCCCGCCGAAAGGTTAAAAGGATAGGCGGGAGGGGGTTGCCAACTTGCCGCAAAACAGCCCACCCCGCCCCCCTTGCCAGGCGTCTAGGACCACAAGGGACGGGCTGGTCCTCTGTCTTGTCTGGTCTCCCCTCCCACCTCTTTTCAGATGTAAAAACATGCTTGCCGGTGATGAGGCCCCCAGAATAGAAGGGGCATTAAAAAAAAAAGAAACAAAAAAAAAAAAAAAAAAGGAAAGCATGATTCAAGCATCTGAAAAAAATGGTCAATATCCGGACCAGAGCGAAGAGAAAGGAAAAAAGAAAAAATGCGGAACAGACTGAAGAATGATCAAGAATCCTTCACGCCACTGCTCCTGTTCCAGTCCAATTCAGGTCTAGTTTGTCTCGAGAACGAGAACGGAAATTCTAGAGAATGGAGAAAATCTCAGAAAACTTCAGGGTGTCTCCAGGTAAATGGTTTGTTATCAGAATGCTACCCGATTTCAATGGGTCAGCCCGACAAGGTGACCCCCTAGCGCCTCCAATGCTAGTTTCCGTAAAGGAAGCCATAGCCTCCTTCCTGCCCAAGGACCCTTCGATCCAAAGACTGCCAGAGCTTAAACCACCAGTACTTGGCCCAGCTATCGATGCCGAGCCTGGAATGCCCCTGCACGCCAATTTTTGCCGAAGCGCCAGGGTACCGTTTCAAATTCTTTTGGCTGGCGCTTCCAGCCATTGAGGTCCGGTACCCCGAAGCCCGGACTTTGCGTAGCGTTAACGGCAACGGCCCGCGGCTGATGTACTGGTGGTTTAAACCACCAGTACTTGGCCCAGCTATCCGCCGTGGGAAAAAATAGAGTAGAAACGTTTCTAGTCGGATGAATTTGGACAGGTGACCCTAATAAAGAAAAATATATACCAAACATAGCCTGGCAATATGTCAGGGTGAAACCATCCCCAAGGGAGGGCTAGGAATCATCGACACACGACAGGAATGACCGCCCTTTACGTCAAGTGGATGATCAAGCTACCGACCAAACAAAGGCTACCGTCTTCACCCGAATAGAACACCCAGTCATTATAGCTGTATTTGGTGCAATTTTCAGTCCAGATACAGCAATAATTACCAGGCGTTCTATTCGGGTGAACACGGTAGCATGACACAAATTGGCTCTGGATAGCATGAGGGCCTTGGCCCCTACTGACAGCTTCGTCAATGCACGGAGCAGAGAGTGTGGGCTTCCACGAAGGCACTAATAGACGCATAGATCCTCCTATCCCCATGGTGAAAAGTCAAGCTCCTCATACAGAGCAGTCGAGACATGCAGCAGGAAATTTTGGCCAATTTAAGGAGAGTTTGGCGGCTGGGGAGAGGCAAGGTGGCTGATCTTAATGGACACAGTCTCAAGTGGAAGGACTGACAGTCTGATACACAATTCTGACTGACTCCACATAGAGACGGATCCTTCCTCGTCACAGGCATATTGCCATGGTGCGCAACCATTAGACCACAATGGCGCGTAAGAAGCCTGCAATGGCGAATAATGTACATAGCAGACGCTTCGCGTCTGATCTATCGCCAGAATCTCGCCTGGCGGTTCCAGTCAACGCATGGTTGGACAAAAGGCGCAAAGAGGACGACAGATCGGCGGAAGACTCCTCACATTGCCAAATGTGCAAAGAGAAACAAGTAGAAACTGTAATTCACTGTCCTTCGGGACGTCCATTAAATTTGAACGATACAGAATAGATAGATTATTAGCATGGCTGCTGCGCAAGGATGACACACATAAATCGAGAAATGGTCCTTTTTTTTTTTCTTCTTTTTTAAGAAAATTTTAACTCGCCGTCTCTTGGACTGCCAACATGCCAAGAAACTATATGGGAGGCTTGCCAGCGATGCAAAAATGTATGAAAAAAACAGCTTATCCTCTCTACCAAGTATCCGACTAACCACCCGCTTCTATCTGCTAACCACGATAGAAAAAGAGGACAAGATCTTAGACGAGGACAAAATGATCACAGAACTACTTAGAAGGACTACACTGTGAGAGCAAGGTGCAGCGGAACAGTTGGTAGCAAAGAGGATATCAGAGTAAGCAAAGGAGCTCATGGAGGCAGACGAGAACACCGGCACAAGAATCATCCAAGCAAGCAAAGGAGCTCACGGAGGCGGAACTCGGAGTAGAATGGAAGCATACTCTATATCGATTTATGCGTCTCATCCTTGAAAGCGCAGGGGCCATGCTAATCTTCATTCTCTGTACCGTTCCAATTTTTATGTATGTCCAGAAGGACAAATGGAAGCATACTCTATGAAGGAGGCAGACGAGAATATGAGAACAAGAATCGCCCGAGGGAGTAAAGGAGCTCACGGAAGCAGAAGTCAGAGTGGAATGGATGCATGCATAATAGCATATTCTACTAGCAAGGATAGACCGAGATGTTGACAGTCGACCGAAGGTCAAGCTGCAAAAGGACTGCAATAAACATGGTTGGAGGAGGGGCTAAGAGCAAAAGTGCACAAAAAAAAAAAAAAAAAAGAGCAAAAGTGCCCGGTAGAGCCCTTCGCAATTACGGACTGGTGTGAGAAGGGGGTAGGGAGAACAGAGATGGAACGAGAGAGACAACAGGACATGGACACAGAATAAGGAGAGGGGAATGAAATTTCGGCAAACAGGACAGACAACTCTAAACTCCAAGAGAGCAGAGGAGGAGATCGGTTACTTTTTATGAGAGTTACTTTTTATGAGATTAAATAAGTAGGAGGTAGGGTTAGAAAGGTCAGAGCAGTGGTAGGGCAGGAGAAGACGAATGTCGACACAAAGGACTGATTAACAGAAGGGGAAGGGTAAAGGTAACGGTAACACAAAGGACTGATTAACAGAAGGGGAAGGGTAAAGGTAACGGTAACACAAAGGACTGATTAACAGAAGGTAAGGGTAAGGACACAAAGTCTGGGTGTATAGGCTGTTATAGGGGCGGTATAGGAGGGTATCTGTCTCTTATACACATCTAGATGTGTATAAGAGACAGCTCTTACATGGTGCAAAACTTGAGCAGCAGCAGC